TTTTGACTTTCCCACTCGCCGCAGTCGCTTACTTTTTTGTCGGCAGTGACTCTTCAGACGCACCAAATGTCCCTTTCCCAACGGTCGACTCTGCCCCTATCGACCCTGATGCCGGATACTAAGGAGAGTACTGTCGAGGGAAAAGAAACACTTAGGCGATCGCTAACTCGACACTAGTCGCTATGAAAGGTCGCCACTGAACCTTTGCCTGAACTAGATTGAGTAACCTTACAACCTCCGAGCTATGCCCCTCAGTGTAAGTCCTTGCTGCCGAACTGAACCAGAAATTGCTACCAAATGTATCGGTAGCGAGCTTCACAGAGTAAATTGGAAAGTGATTAGATTGTCGTCTTAAACTACTAACTACAAACATGTATACTATAATAAACTACATGAAGTAAATGTTTTTTCTCTACGGCTTCATCAACGGCCTTGACCGCTAATGGTGCGACAATCTTTAGCTTGTTCGACAGTCTTGCCATCGTTTTCTTAACGATGCGACAAGCTGTATTCTTGGTCGGCAGCCTTGCCATCATTACAATCCCAGTCTCATCAGCATTGAATCAAAATCGTCGCCGTGTTGGTCGAAGAACCGGGCTGCGAATTCGGTACGTGTGCTTTCCAAGTCACTGATGACTGTCTTCGAAATTGTCGCCTGTTGGTGGCAGTATCCATGTCGTCCACAAAACTCCAGAAGGAGTTTCAAGAGGTTGTCATATCCACACCCTGGCTTATGTCGTGCGATGTACTCTTGGAGCTACGGTTACTGGTGTTGCTTCAGGAAGTTGACCATGTGACTGCACGTGAGTGCTCGCTCTTGATTGCGACGATTGTCCATGAACGCCAAGAGCTGTTCTGGTTGCGGTATAATGGTCGGCCGTCCAGGACCTGGCAGATTCGTGGATTTCTAGTTTCTTTTGAAGTTATGCAACTTTTCTGCCAACTTGACCCAGTTACGGATAGTCGGATAGGGAATCGACTGCTCGAACGCCACCTTTTGGATCGACATGGTCGACATCATTGTCACCGCTTGAAGTTTCAGCGATATGGGGTACACGTGGCGATGGTTTTTACCCATAGCAGTGCGCTCTACAGTGTCCATGGCGTGGCCAAACCATTGATACAACTTCGCGGGCTTTTTATCCTTGATTTGGCGCGAGTATAATATTATGACGAATGAAATGACAGAAACGAAATACTTGCTTTTCATTGGATATAAAAAGCGTATGTAATATTCAAACTTCGGTGTCCCTCGTTCACTACTGTAGTATTGCAGGTGGTACAACAATATAACAATTGCGTAGCTAGCACTTTCTAGCTAGTCTAGCCACCTCATTAGCTATACCCTACGTAAGGGCAAATCATAGGCCCAATAAGTACTGTAGGTAGCCATTCCCCTGTACTTGTTACATTCGTCTCATTCAACATAGCTATATTCCGCGACCAGGCCCTTACATGGACAGTAATATTCCGAGACCAGTTCACGACCAGCCGCTTAGGTAACGTGACAGTTTCCCAGCCATGAAAATGGGAATTACAGCACTTGGATACATCCCATTTATTAACGCGCAACACCTCGCAACTAAAGACTTGAGATAATGTATGGACCTTCTAACGTTACCAATTAACTCTAAGGACTTTTCGCCCCATCCGAGTGGGTTAATTTGTCATTTTGATGTGTTGGGGTGGGCCAAATGCAGTGCCATGAAACTTTGGCTATGTTGAAAGAATGAAGTGGTTCTAACGACCTCCTCCGGCACGCTAGCAAATAGTTGGGTGGGTGCAAGAGTAGGTCCATCACTCGGAGCGAAAAGAGTGATCGTCCACCAAGTTGTGAACTTTGGTAGTGAATCATTGTGCCAGTCGCGACTTACTTTTGTGTTATGTCTGATCGTTGCGAATACTAAGAGTACCAATGCAGAACCAGTGGAGCACATCCCGGTAAGTGGTGGTTCAACTTCCAGTGTGGACAAAACTCAATTGAAAGCTGCGGAATCATTGCAGCGATACGTTCAATCATGGGTTATATCCATTGAGTTGCGACTAGCAGATAGCGTGGTGATATTTGTTGCTTGTTGGACGCTTAGTGTAACCTTGATTAAGCCGTAAACAAGGGCTAAAAGATCTGTAATGAATGCAATGAATGATCCGATGCGCTCTAGTTTTATTAGGCGATACATAGGATTAATCGCTCAGAAAAGTAAGCTGCTCGCTTAAACTGTCGTACACTGTGCATGATGTATCGATTCTGCCTACCAGGAGACCTACTGGTAGTTAGTTTTTGTCGAAACCCCCGAAGTTAACGGACATGTCTAGCGTTGGTTACCAGCTAGCCAAATGTGAAAATAAAAAATACCCCATCGCACGGGCTATCCGAATATACTAAGCCAATCTGAAGTTTCGTAATTTGTATACATTAAACGAATCTAGAATATCTGAAGCCTAGCCGGAACTACGGCCGTATTTCTACGCTTTTTAGCCGGTAGAATCAACCAAAAAGTCTGGCCTTGGCTACCAGCTAGCCAAATGTGAAAATATATTCATTAAATTCACATATTGTCGATTATGTTAGGATTCGAAACCAAGTTAGCTGTAACACTGCACCATTTTTCGTTTAAGTTCAGGTTATTTCTGGTATATTTCGTCCAACGCACAACTGATTCACGCTATGTGCGTTATGTTCGCCAAGCATGCAATAGTTGCATTATATTTAGACTAATGTCCGGTATATGTCACCCCACAGCTGGTATATTTCACACATTGTTCAATATATTTCAAATGATGGTACAGATAACGGCGGAAACCTTCACCCAGTGGTACTTCGATTTGCATTTAGAATTTGTATGAGGTATAAAACTTTCTAAGTTGATACACTATTATTGGACACTAGTAGTTTGTATAGTTACACAATATTTTTTTTCTCAAAATATGGTTGAGTAGCACTGGGTGAAGATTTCCGTCGTTACCTGTTCTTCGATTTGCATTTAGAATTTATATGGGGTATAATAATTTTGAAGTTGACTTTTGAGTGTAACACTGTTATGGGACACTAGTAATTTGTATAGTTACACAATATTGTTATTCTCAAAATACCACTGGGTGAAGATTTCCGTCGTTACCTGTAGTAGTACTGAATAGTACTGGATTATAAGTAATAACTTTGAAGTACCATGAAGTCCCGCTACATTATACTATCGAGCACTGCATAATGACATGGTGAAAACAATTTACTGTTAATCGTCACCAATATTTCTACACAAACTACGGCAGTCTGAGACGCGCAAATTTAACACTGCAGTTTGTACAGTAGTACTTCAATCACAAGAAACCTCGAGTCGCATTGCATATAAGTACTAGTACTGCCTACCGTAGTTGATTCGAACATACATACTGTATGAACAGCAATAACTGTTGGCTGGCTATAGAAGCGAACACCCTCAAATCAAAATTTACTCGATTGCACGAACCCCCTCGTCCATGCAATTTTTTAGGCAAAGTCACCGCGTGAGCTTAGTAAAACTAACGTTGCATATGTATGAAACGTGTAGCACGCGCAAATTGTAGGATGTCAGTGAACAAAATGACGCAATCCGAAAACTGCCCCTATCTACTGTATTGAGTTCGGAGTACTGTACAGTGCTTTGCAGTAAAACCGGGTCAATGCAGCTGTCCCAAAATATGAAAAATCACATTTGTGGCGAAGTAGAATAATCACACTGGATTGGACAAAACTGGATCAAATACGACAGCCAATCACAGAGTAGCTTGATTGTAATTGGCTAGTATAAAATTGTATACCGCTTACGCTTTGGGCGCAGTCTCCTTGTGTTCATCATATCCTTCGATTAATACTACGTAGTAGTAACGTTATTTATACTACGTATTCGTTGAATAGACCGCTCAATTCCAGTGTCAGTACTACGTTGTTCTATTAGTAGTACTAATACTAAGGATCGCTACTGCATACTGTAGAAGTATGTACTTCAAGTACTATGTAGTACTACTAATACTAGTAAGTACTGCTAGTAGTACTGTATTACATTCCTGGAAATACTATTGCTAGGTACAGTAGACTATTAATAGTACTAGTCGTACCCCACTTCAATTCGTACATCCGCATACAGTACATGATACTACTCCGTTCCTAGTATTACATACTGTACACACTACTAATATACAGTTAAATATTGTGCTCCTAGTACTCGTACTAACTAACTCCTTTGAACCCCCCTAGGTTAACGTTAACTGTAGATCATTGTATTCCGTTCAGTATCGTACAGTACATAGTGTCACCTACATGTACTAGTACGTACTTGTAGTATCTTCTATATACTGATGTGCGTTGTAATGTACGTACTGGAATATGTATGTACTGTACTTTCTGTACAAATAAGATAATACAGTCAAATTAGACTTCTATTGTGTTTATGTTGCTTG